ACTCACCAACAAAATGGGAAAGCCAAGCAAATGAATAGAACTATCAACAATATGCTTTTTTCTCTTTTTTTTTTTTCAAGTAAATTTATCGAGACAATTTTGGGTAGAAGTATTATATATTGCTATTCCCCTTGTAAATATTGTTCCTACTTCTAAGTTACATTTTCGGACTCCATATGAAACACTTTATGGCACATTTTCTTCTTATGATCATTTACAGATTTCTAGGGGTGCTTGTTATCCTAATTTATCTGCTTCTGCTCCTCACAAATTGGCATGATGTCTCACTCCAAAATTGATACCCTTTAGCTTTAGGTGTTGAATTTACAGGGAAGTTATATTAAACCAAAAAAGATATGTTAAAATAAAAAATTAAATTAAAAGATAATTTCTAAAATTAAGAATAAAAATCTTTGAATAAAGTTGATAATTGTAAAGAATTGAAAACAATATTATGGTGAATAAGGTTTTAAGGTCTACTTAATTGATTTGTATAATTGTTATAAATTTTGATTACTATTTATTACTTAATTACATGTTTCAGATCCTAAATAAACTATCGAAAGATATAACTTTAAAAACCAATAATAATAACTAATATATTTATTTTGAAAAAAATTAATTTCAAGAAAAAATAAACTGATTTATTCTTATAAGCTATTTGAGAGCAACGATATATCTGATCGATAATGTTACAATAAAGGATCAGTTGATAAAATAAATTTACCAATCAATTATATTCTAACAAATTTCATATAAAAAGAGCATGACTAATCTTATACTAAATTTGATAAAAATAACTTTTAGGGTTTTCAAATTAAAAAATAATTAATAATCTCTCAAAAATAAAATTAAACAATAAAATTTATGAAAAAATTAAAATAAAATAACAAGTTAAAATCATCGATCTTTTTTATCTTTATTGAAAATTTAACTATACTTTAATACAACTCTCTAGCATGAAAAAAAAAAAAAAAAAAAAGTCTAAGAACAGCCTCCTCATCCCCTTCAATTCAGAACCTGGATAAGTATTCACAGAATTTAGGAAAATGGCCGTAAAACGCGCATAAAAATAATTAGGATAGGCACGGTTAAAAATAGCATAAGGAATCGACACCCTCAAAAAAGTGCCGCCACCTTTAGCAAGGCCGTAACCAAATACTCCGTATTGGGTTATGGCAAAATAGCAGTCCTGGTCCCCAACTCTTGGATTCCGAGCAAGTTAATCATCATGTTTCTCATATCTGCAATTTGCTCCTAAAAATTATGATTGCTTTCAATTAAGTCATTTCCTATACCAAAAATGAAAATTATGTAAAATAAGTGAAATCTCATAAAACTCATTTAAATATCAATAATATCAAAGCAAAAATTTCACATTAATATGTATGTGAATTCAACTCATCATAATTCTCTCCATTTAATTATTAAACCTTCAATCATAAAACATTTACACAATAGAAATAGAATAAACACATATGAAATTACTTGTAGAAAAATATAATTTTCAAACCTATAATTCCACAAATATTAATTGTTAAACATACTTTAAATATATATTTTCATCAATGTTGTCATATGCCAATTTTGCTACTTAAACGTTACGTATTAGATATTGAAATTTTTCATGTGTTGTTTTGAATCTATCACTATAAATATATATATTTATAAATTAAATATCAAATTTTAAAATAATTATAAAAGAAACTAATGTAATTGGAGACAAAATTTGGGAAAACCTTTTTACCTAGTAACAATCCTTTATTTCTGCAATTATTAACCTAAACCCCATTATAACCCAAGCAAAGGTCCTTTGGATGGTTTAAATTAAAGACATTAAGATGGTGATAATCACTCAACAAATGATAGCAAATCCATTCAATTTAGAAAAGCTAAAAAGATTTAATGATGGAAAGCTTTCTTTCTATATTTCAAACACATTGCATCAAATTTCCACTAGTTAGTAGTTACCCGTGTGAGTTAGAAAAAAAAAGGGCAATTGTCATCCATATTACAATCATAGAAACAAACACCCAAACAGGTTCATCAAAGTGGTTCTTCAATTGTTTCTGCCAAGGGACAATTTTGAACAAACAACTAAATTAACATTACGAATTATCTTTAATTAGTAAATCGAAATTCTAAATCAAAAACTTAACTATTGAGACAACCTAATGCTGTCTCCACAATACCATGGTTTGAGCACTTACTAACTCAATACATACATAGAGTTGAAAATTTTTTTCATTTCTTTCTCTTCATCCCCATATGTCTTCCAATCAAACTTAAAAAAACTTCTAGAAGGCAAAAGGAGATAAAAGGGAAAACTATGGGGAAAGAATCAAAGTAGACAAAGGTGAAATATTACTAGATCTACAAGAAAACAACAAGATGAAAAGTTGAAGGAAAGAAGGGAAAGGACAAATGGGGAGAAAGAGGGTAGAAAAAATAAAGGGAAGAAAAGATGGAAGAGAAACGGGGACCAAAGAAAGTAGTGGCAGTAAAGCATCCACAACCCACCGGCGACGAGTCAAGACAAGGTTCATGAGGAAGGAGGAGAATAGAGATCTGTAATTTGAAATTGTAGGGTGAATTAAAGCCCCTAGCCAAAATGACATCGTTTTGGCTAGGGATTTCTTTTTTCTTTTTTTTTTTTTTAATTGGACATAAGTTGTACTGGTCAAATTTCGGTGTATCGGTCAGTGCATTGAATTTTGACCGATACACCGAAATTTGATCAAAACAAAATTTAAATTTATATTGTTTCAATTAACTTAAAAAATCAGTATGTACCGACCATATTGACCGATACCAACAACATTGATTTTCATGCCTTCATCATTACACCAAGGTCAATCCTTTGTATTTTCTTAAGATGTTCATTGTGTCATAAAGGGTACAGGTGTCTTGATCTTGAAACAAATAAAATTGTTATTTTTAAACATTTCATTTTTTTTTAATGAAAATAGGTCTCCTTATGTTTCCCATGTTGCTTTTAAACCCACAAATCCCACACCCTCAATAACTTTTAAAATACCTTTTGATTTATATGATACAATTCTTCCTCCATCCAATGAAAATCGAACCCCTGTCTCATCTATATCACCCACTTATTTTTTATCTTTGGTTAACACTTTATTTTAATAACAAGTTCTAATGGGTTAAAGTTTTATTTTTATTTTATTTCTAAAGAAAACAATAAAATAGAATTCTATTGTATATGCTCTAAGCAATGATCTCAACCACCCTTGGATCCTTGCCTATAAAAGGAGTGCTCCAACATGACCATCTTCATCAACCTACAGTTAAAACTCCCACAAACACTTTCACAAGCAAAGGCAGTTGGCAATAGTATTGCTAGCACTCTCAAAATGGACTCTATTTTTCTTTTTTCCATGTTTGTTTTAATGATTCTGTTCACAGTCTCAAAGCTTCTACAACTTTCCTAGGTTGTTTTCTGGTGGCCATATTCCTTAACTCAAAGATTAAAGAACCAAGGAATCACTGGTCCATCTTACAAACTTTTTACTAGTTCTCTTGATGTGATAAAGAGGATGAAGAAGGATGCAAAAGAAAAGATTCTTGACATAGATTCAAATGATATACTTCAGAAGATCCTTCCCCACTATCATAAATGGTTCTCAGAATATGATCAGTTTTTTACCTGTCTAATTCTTTACATTCTATTTGCTGATAGTAGGTGTACTAATACTCATTTTTTTATGTCACAGGAGATACTTTTCTTTATTGGCATGGATTAGAGCCACATCTCTGCATTTCAGACCCTAAGCTAGCCAAACAAATACTATCAAACAAGTTAGCTTTCTACGTAAAACCTCAAACTGAGCTTGGATTGCTAACAATGATGGGGAAAGGATTGGTATATGTTGAAGGATTGGAATGGATTAAGCACAAAAGAATCATCAACCCTGCCTTCTCCGTTGAAAAGCTCAAGGTCATGGTAAAGAGAATGGCAGCTTGTGCCATCTCTATGCTTGAAGAGTGGAAAGATCTACTTACAATGAGTAAGGATGGATCCATTATGATAGAAATGAACGTAGAATTTCAAAAACTAACCGCCGACATAATTGCCCATATTGCCTTTGGAAGTAACTACATGCAAGGAAATGAGGTATTCGAAGCATAAAGACAACTTTAGGAGTGGTGTGCTATTGCCAGTTTTGATATCTTCATCCCTAGCACCTCGTAATTATCATAGTTTGAAATTTTGATTTTCTTCTTTAAATTTGGAATTCATATATAAAGCATTTGAACCTTTTTGCCTTTCTATGAATCTTTAGATATTTGCCTACTCCATCAAATATTTAGATATGGAAGCTTGATTAGAAAATGAGGAGATCTTTAATGCATATCATAAAGACTAGGGTGAAAATTTTCAAAACCAGTACTAAAAGATCTCCAAATTTTTGTTTTGAAGATGATGTACTTGGTATGATGATTGCATCTTCAAAAGCCACTCAAGCTAAAGGAGAACTCAAGTTGAACATGAATGAAATCATGGATGAATGCAAAACATTCTTCTTTGTAGGACATGAAACGACTTCGACATTGTTGACCTAGACCATATTCTTGATAAGCAAACATCAGGACTGGTAATAAAAACTTAGAGAAGAGGTGTTGAAAGAGTGCGAGAGTGGAATACCAGATATTGATATGTTAGCCAAGCTAAAATTGGTAAGATATATTACATTTTTGTTCTTCTCAATGGATTACCTCGATTTCCAAAGATTGATCATCCCAACAATCATCTTATTAGGTGAACGTGGTTCTTTTGGAGGCTTTAAGGCTATATTGCCCAGTGATAACCATGTCTAGAGTACTATAAGAAGACATGACAGTAGGGAGTTTAAGGATTCCAAAGCATACACAATTAGTTATACCACTAGTCATTATGCACAGAAACAAAGACTACTAGGGAGAAGATGCAAGTGAGTTCAGTCCCCTAAGATTCATAAATGGGATATCCAGAGTACAAAGCACCCAAATGCTTTCATTGCCTTCTGAATCAAGCCAAGGGCTTGTATTGGACAGAATTTTACAATGTTGGAGGCCAAAACTGTGCTTGCCTTGATTCTCCAGAGGTTTTCTTTCTCCCTTTCCACTCTGTACAAACTTACACTAGCCAACAACCTTACCTTACTATTAAGATATAACACACTTATTGTAAATATTTAATACCTTAGAATATTCTCTTTATATACTTTATACCTTAGAATATTCTTTTTGTAAACACCTATATATAAGTCTTTGTACATACAATATTATTCAAGAAAGCAATAAACCTTTCTTCAAATTCTTCTTCTTCTTTTTAGTTTCTAAGATGTTATCAAAGTTATAAACTCTTGGTTCTTTTCTCTTATCATTGTTGTTTGGTTTTTGGAGTTGGATTTTCAATTCCATTCTAGATCTGAAACTTTGTCATTGGGATCTCTTCTTCTATAGATTGGATTCTTTATCCTCGATTCGTTGACCCTTTTGAGGTATTTTGTTGGCTTGTTATTTCGATCTTGGCATCTATGTCTTTATATTTTTTTAGAGTTTTTCAGGATTGTGAATTTTATTGATTCTATGGCAAGTTTTGAAAGGATTGTAACTCATCCTGCTACTGCTATGGTTACCAAAGAAGCGATAAACCAACCTAATATCAACCTTGAATCCCTAAAACAGGTGATATTAAATCTTTTTAATGCTTCTACTGTCTTATCTACTGCTCTAGGTTCCAAACCTTAGTATTTTGATTCTAGTTGTTGTAACCATATGTCTTTAATTATTGCTGATTTCTCTTCAATGTCACCAAATAATTCCTTACCTGATATTTATTCTGCTAATGGTTCCCCTATGAATGTTAGTCACATTAATAATATTTCTACAAAGTCATTGACTTTACCAAATGTCCTCTTAGTTTCAAAACTTAGTTATAATCTTCTATCTATCGGTCAATTATGTGATATTGGTCTTGAAGTAACATTTTCTACTTATGGTTGTCGTGTGCAGGACCCACGAACATGACAACTTCTTGGAACTGGTCGCAAGGTGGGGTGTTTGTTTGAGCTCAACTATCTGCATATTCCTAATAATAAAATGGATACACCATCATTTCCAAATGATCGAATCATCCACTTATCTTTCCATTTGTGGCACTCACGACTCGGACATACCTCAGCCGGTAAATTTCATCCACTTATCTCTCATGGTTTATTAGGATCAGTTTCGAATGAATATTTGCATTGTGTGTCATTTCAATCTACAAAGCAACCAGCTTTATCTTTTTCGAGTAGTCATTCTCATTCTACTGCTCGTTTTGATCTCGTGCATTTTGATGTTTGGGTTCCATCTCTTATACCCAGCATTAGGGGTTCCAAGTACTTCATGTTTATTTATTGATGATCATACTCATTTTACTTGGAAATATCTTATGAAAAATCGCTTTGAGTTACCACAAATTTATATTGATTTTGCTACTATGGTCAAAACTCAGTTCTCCAAAATTATCAAAGTTTTGAGAAATGACAATGCCATTGAATATCTTAGTACTAAACTTCAATCTTTTCTCAAAGAACAAGGTACACTAACACAACAATCTTGTCCTTACACTTCTGAACAAAATGGGTGAGCCAAACGTAAACACAAACATATCCTTGATTCTGTTTGTACTCTACTCATTTCATTATCTTGTCCATAGCGATTTTGGGGTGAAGCTACCCTTACAACTGTCTTTTGGGAACACACTATGTTTTTCCTCGTTATCAAACTTCCAAGTGTCATCTTTTGATCAACCTTCATTTTTTACTAATCCTTCTGTTGAGCTATTCCCTAGTGATTCTGATGCAGGTACATATGATGAGCTTTACAATTCCTCACCACATGTTCCAACTGGTTTTACAGAAGATGATCTACTTGTTAGTAATGCATTAGATAATTTTGAGCCTTCCTCTACTTCCTCATCCATATCACCTATTGATGTTGCATCTGATACTGTTAAGTCTCCAAATGAGCTTGTTGTCCCATCTTCGAGTCATCCTACTCGGGTAAGAAACCTTCCTAGCTACCTTCGCAATTATCATTGTTTTCATGTTATTACTTCTTTACATGAGCCTTAATCATATCGAGAGGCCTCTACTAACCCTCCAGTTGCTTGTCTCACATCTGTGTGCAGGTTGCCTGCTATTACTGCTATACAGAAATGGAAATTATTTCAGATGGATGTGAAAAATGCTTTTCTTAATAGTGACCTAGAAGAAGAAATTTATATGAAACCACCTCTTAGGCTCAACCATCCTCCAAACAAGGTACGCTGATTACAATGTGCATTATACAGGTTGAAACAATCCCTTTGAACCTGGTATGCAAAGTTTAGTGCTATTGTAAGTGAGTTTGGTTTTACTTCGAGTCCATATGATACAGCTCTATTCATTTGTAAGACTGCTCGGGGTATGGTTCTTTTACTTCTTTATGTTGATGACATGATTATTACTGGAGATGATATCGCAAGTGTTGAGGAGTTAAAACAATCTCTCAATCAAAAATTTGAGATGAAAGATCTTGGTGTTCTAAGATATTTTCTAGGGCTTGAAGTCACATCTTCAGATGATGGCTACCTACTTTCTCAAGTATAGTATGCCTCTGATCTTGTTTCTAAAACTGAACTCAGTGATAACAAAAGTGTTTCTACCCCTCTTAAGTCTAATGTCAAGCTTACACCTATGGATAGCTCTCCACTTTTTGATCCTACTAGCTATCTGCAATTGGTTGGTAGTCTGGTTTATCTTACCACGACACGCCTCAACATAGCATAGCAAATTCACATTGTTAGTCAGCTTATGGTTGCTCCTTGCTCCACTCATTATGAAACAATACTTCGCATTAGTTGCTATGTTAAGGGAACATTGTTTCATGGACTTCACTTTCATGCTCACTCATCTCTTGAACTTCATGCTTACTCAAACGCTGATTAGGTTGGAGACTTTAATGATCGTCAATCCACCATTAGATATGGTCTCTTTCCTAGTGATTCCTTAATCTCTTGGCATAGCAAGAAACAGACAGTTCCATCACGTTCTAGCAAAGAGGCTAAATATCAAACACTTGGAGACACCACATCAGAGTTACTTCACTTACATTGGCTACTGGAAGATATGGGTGTTCCTCAACCGCCTACTACTAATCTACATTATGACAATCAGAGTGCCATACAGATTGCTCATAATGATGTTTTCCATGAACACACTAAACACATTGAGGTTGATTTTCACTTTGTTCGCTATCATGTTGCACAAGGAACTATTCATTTGGTTTTCATTAGCTCCGTTGATCAACTAGCAGACCTCTTCACCAAGGCTCATTTTCCTGAACACTTTCATACTCTTCTTTCCAAATTCAAGTTGGTTTCATCACAACCACGTCAAGTTTGAGAAGGGATGTTCAGATATGAACACATTTATTGTAAATATTTAATATCTTAAAATATTCTCTTTTTATACTTTATACCTTAAAATATTCTCTTTGTAAACACCTATATATAAGTCATTGTACATAGAGTATTATTCAAAAAAGCAATAAACCTTTCTTCAAATTATTCTTCATCTTTACTTACAACCTCAATATGGCCTCCCTGTTGTCTTCAAACCTCTGAACAAGTACGAACATGCAGGAACATGTAATAAATTAAATTAAAGTAGTCAGGCTCCTGTGTTATTTGTGATATATATGACTACTTGGATTAAGCTTATTTTACCAGATTAGCTTCACCCTATCTAGTATCCCCCAAATGACTTTTGTAAAATAATTTTAATCTATGTTGAATATTGGGGCATATATCCCATAGAACTGGCTTTATGATTAGCCAAAGATTGTCATGCGTTTATATTATTAATTTCTAATATCATCAATTCATCACTACTTTTTTTTAGTACAAAATTTGTCATCTACTGGCAATATGCGCATACAACCTTGAAATATAAACTTGCAAGCCATCTCGGCTTCCCTGGCATCCCAGTGCGATAGTCTATAAATAACTATATATATATATATATACTCTTAAATTCTGTTTTATTACCATGTTTTAGTTGGGATTAAATATGTTTGGTTAGAGGAGTCACTATTATTTAGTCAAATTATAAAAATAAAATAAATAAATAAAAACGAGGGACGGCATACGAGAGGACATCACATACTTTCAATACTTCATCAACTTTTGTCGAGATGAAACTAACTATTAATAATACTCAATAAGGACTCTCTCTCTAAATTTTAGTTATTCCCTCTTTAACTCACACTTATCAGAGAAAATTGATAAAGGTTAAACGTATTAAAAGATGCCTTTTGAGACTTGTTTTACAGCGTTTTTTTTTTTTGGACAATGCTACGTTTACCTTCCTTTATCACACACTCCGTTACACTCACTTACTCTCTCAAACTCCATTAGTTTCTGTTAAGCACGTAGCCCAACCCTTTCTTTCTCTTTCCTTTCATTTCTCCTTCTTACTGTTCACCATCCTCCTTGTTGATAAAACCATCAAAATCCCTTTGGTTGATGAACTGGAAACATACAAAGAAATCACGAGAATCATCAACCTCTTGCGCTCAGAAAACATTTCGATTCAATTTGCAACCTCGATTGCGTACTGGGAATTGCATATTATGGGAGAAAAGAAGCGATTGAGAACATGCTTCGAGCTGGGTTCCTTCGATTGACCCAGCAGCAACCCAGCAATTACTTTCTGTTAAGCACCTAGCCCAGCCCTTTCTTTCTCTCTCTCTCTCTCATTTCCTATCTCCTTATTGTTCAGCATCCTCACCAGATCCATCTTCCTCCTCACCTCCATCCTCATCCTAATCATTTGCAGCCTCATCTTCCTCTTAACAACCTCGATTCCTTCGAACCCGCCTCCAACAGATCTGCTTTTGCCACCACCGCCCTGCAGTGCCGTTTCCCCTGCTTCCTCCAAATCTGCTTCTGGGTTTGATGCTTCCACTAGATTTGCTTCAGGGTTTGATGCTTCCCTCTCCAATGTTCTTCCTTAGATGTTCTACTATCCAACGACCCACAAGAAATGGAAAAGTATCGTGGCAGCGATGGACCATTTGAGAAAACAAGGGAATGATCGGAGATGTTCGAGAATCAGCTGGAACTACAGAGATAGAAAAAGAAAGAGAGAAAGAAAGAGTTGGGCTGGGGGCGTTTGAGAGTTGACGGGAAAATAACGAGACTAAGTGGGTGTAACGGAGTGTGTGATAAAGGAGGGTAAACTAGCATTGTCCTTTTTTTTTTTCTTTATTGTACAGTTAGTTTTAATTAATATTTTGTGTATACAACACTTGAAAAACAATCATCAAACATTTAACTAGTTTTTAAAAATCAGAAACTGCGCAAAATCCTCGACACGAGTGATCACTTTACTTGATCGTCTCAATTAGGTAACTTCCGATTCCTATGTTTCTGTTTCTATGCTATTACTTTCCTCAGGGATGGGTATTGTCCAAGTCTGAGGTAGCCGGAAACTTACCAAAATCTTGTCAGTCAGTTTGCTTTGCTCAATTTGCTTTGCTACGTAGGTTCGGAATAGGATAGGTAAGGCATCTGGCTCTATTAAAAAAAAAAAAAAAA